CCATCGACACTTTAACAAAACTTACCTTGACTTGGGTCTTGTTTATCTCTTGTCACAATCTGGAAACTGTTGAACAAATTGCGCATCTTCCAGTTTAAGACGCAAGTTATATTATTATTATTATTTATTCATTCAGTTTTGCGTGGAGTTACGTGGGGTTTATTATTTTTCGCGACGTTCTTTGTTTACCTGTTACGGTTTGAGGGATTTTAGTTTATTTGATTTACGTTTTTACGGTAGTTTTGAGCGGGACTCGAACCCACTGACTTTTCAAGCAAATTTTGTTTTATCTCGATGGCACACTTGTGTACCACGCCACGAAGTTGGTCGTTGAGTGGTGTTCATTTTGCTAACTACTTCAATGTTCCGATGAGTTGAACGGGAAAGCCAAAACGATTGTTGGTTTCTGATTGCTTTCGTTCCGGTGAGTGTGTATGTAGTGGGATTCGAACCCATGTCGTTTGTATTGGGCGTTTTTTTATTTCCCATGTTGGCTACGCCGTAATATGCAACCACTTCACCGTTTTATTGTGATTTTGTTAGTGTTTAATGATGTCTTCCTCACCATCACGCCATGACCCAGTTTCAACCACACGGCCATTTTGCAATGAAGTGCGTGACCCTTGGCGTGACCCGACTGACTATATGATTATTCTGTTCAACTATTAGGCTAGGATTTATTACAGTTATCATTATATTGTCACGTGATTTGTTTCACCTTGTGTTTAATGTCTTAAGTATCTTTATTGTAATTTGTATATACCAATTCGTATATACCGAGCAAACTACCCCAATTGAAGGTTTGTGACGTCATCAATTCGTGTGTAGGTACGACTTCTAGAACCGTGCCTATAGTGATATACACCACCGTCCCTCGGTGTTGAGGGAGTGTATACACTATGTATCTTTCTATAGCAAATAAGCACCACTCTCCGGAGATCGTATTTTTCGGTACTACTGCAGAGTGCTACACATGAACATGTGAATATGGCGGCTACTGTCAACTAGTAAGTAGTCCAGTGTATATACACGTTGTTTCGGACGTTCCCAACACATAGAGGGACTGTCATATGTGCAAGGTTGGGTA